ACCTGTTGCCGGGGGCCAGTAAGGTAACTGGGCAACCTGGGCATTCTGAGGGTCCAGCAGGGCTCAGTTCAGTCTCTGTTAAACGGGACGACTGGACGCTAGGAAGGTTTAACCTGTTCGCGTTTTGGACCGAAGAGAGAAATGCTGGTTTTCACGTCCATCCGTTTCTGCCAGTCAAACAAGCTGAGGACCAAGACGTTGAGAAACACGCGGAACCCCGTATGGAATGAAACCTTGGTGTATCACGGTATCACAGAGGAGGACATGCAGAGGAAGACCTTAAGGCAGGTAGCGTCGAGCTTTAACTCCATAGCCTTGATCTGACCCTGATCAGACTCCACCAGGCGATCTGCAGACCGGCTACAGCCGTGTTTTTCAAACTTGGCAACTTTCAGATGGGTGGACTTCAACTCCCAGAGTCCCCCTGTCAGAAAAAACACTGGTTGAAGTATTTTCAGAGCCTGCAGGACTTTCTCTCTCTGTTTGCACACTGATCTGGAGGGGAAGTGAGATCCCAGCTCAGCATGGCTTCTCTCTTAAGAGACCAGCAGGTTTATGTACAGTATGTTGACCCTCGGTTCTCTTTTTTAGGATCTCTGTGTGTGATGAAGACAAATTTGGCCACAACGAGTTCATTGGGGAGACGAGGGTGGCTCTGAAGAAGCTGAAAGCCAACCAGAAGAAGAACTTCAACATTTGCCTAGAGAGGGTCATCCCGGTACGTAGGCCCGTCTCTCTCTGTCTTGGGGGTTGGTTGGCACATCTTCCCCAAACTGTTCTGTGTGGTCCAAGGAGTGGGGGGAAGTGGGAAATGGTGGTGGGTGCCAATTGCAGGAGGGGTTTCCTGCTGCGTGTTCAGATCTGAGAAAAGGGACACGCAGCTTGCTTGGCTGCCTATCTGCCAGGAGGAACTCTGGGCAGCGAACAGGAATAAAAACACAATACCATCAGAGCAAAAAAAAAAAATTAAAACAAAAAGCAACATTGAGGCCCTGATAAAACTTAAATAACAATTAAATTGGGGGTGGATGGGCATGGAAAATACGGAGTTTGGGGGTTCTGTCTTATAAGCAGCCTCTGGGTGATGCTGTTTCTCTTCTGCTCCTCCCAGATGAAGCGCGCGGGAACCACCGGCTCGTCACGAGGAATGGCGTTATATGAAGACGAAGTAAGATCCAGTTCGGCTTTCCATGGAGAAACGGGAGTTACTGTTGATTTTTTGCAGGAAAAATCACAGGTCTTGTGCTCTGTCAGGGCAGAAGTGATCGTGGACAAGAGTCTCCCGCACAGGACGCAGGAAGTGGGAGGGGCTTCTGTTCTGTTGGGGGGAACAGATGGGGGTCAGTGGGGTTTAAACAGAGATCAGAGAAAAAACAAAAGGCAGACATGGCCAATCTTGTCCCTGTCAGTGGCTCAGGGGACACCCATCGCCATCCCCCCCGGGTTCATTTCTCAAGCCAGCAAATCCCACGTTTTAGAGATTAGGACCCCAACTCTCCAGTTCCGTAAGAATCATAGTTTTAAACGTGGCCTGGACAAGGCAGGAGTCTGAAGTCAGTGTATGATTGTCTTTCTGGAGACCCCTGGACTATTTCTCTTGCAACTGGGCGCAATCTGGGCTCACTAACTAGGAGAAACGGAGATTCGGAGTCTCTCCTGCCATCTTAGATTTCTTTGTGCCGTGCGCCCCCCCGTGGCCCGAT